CCAACAGCTTGGTCAGCCATTAGCTCATCAATGTATTAATCCACGGAGAGCACAGCACCCCATGACCCAATCACCTTCCAAAAGCCCCACCTCTGAACACTGGAGACTTTGAGGGGACATTTTAACTCTAATTACACTCAGTATTCTTAAAACCAAATAGAATATGAAACTTACCTAACAAGTAATTCACTGGGCTAAATTCAATATATTTAGGCCCATGGATTTTGATTATTTTTGTCCATATAGAAATGTGCAACTAATTTTTTTTCAAGATAAGATACTGAAGAATAATCTTTAAGCTATGGATCCAATTCAGAAGTCTAAGTCTGTATTTCTAGTTTGGCCATTCAAATTAGTGATGAATCCCCTTCTCGGTGTGCCAGCTGTGGGCCAGCTTTCTCTCTGATCTAGAACACTGCATATATTATCTTTAAATGAACCAGGTGGTCACTAAATCTAGAGGGCTATAAGCCCACTTTGACAGCATCTATTAAACACCATCCGGTTCCTCCCTCAAACATAGTCTTTATTATATGCTAGGCCTTGGGTTTTAGGTCTAGGGAATGAGAAGAGGGAATTAAACCCACACCCCTCCCAAACTGGTCTTTTACAGGGAAAGGCAGGTTCTAAAACAGTACCTTATATGCTGTCCTGCGGGATAGAAAACATGTGAAAGGCAGAGAGAGGATCAAGATGAACTCCAACAGGAAAGCAGAGGTGACATTTCAGCTGGGCCTTGAGGGATGAGTAGAAGTTTGCCAGGAGGCACAGGGCAGAAAGGAATGGGGAATGAAGAGGAATGAAGGGAGCTGCCCCAGCAAGGTGGCGGGCAGGAATCCACCCTACAGCAGTCAAAGTGCAAACCCTCCAGCCAATTAAGCAAAGCCTCCTGTTAACGTGGAACAATCACCTTGATCACTTACTGAAAACGGGTTCTTGGATCTGCATAATAGAAACGTTTCAGAGTAAACGCTTTCCTAGATTTGGCTAAGGCTGTGTGGAAAGTTTCTCAGTAGAACTCTGTAAGAACCCCTCATTTACAGTCAGCTGTGGAATGCCGGAGAATGCTCTGTGCTGGGGAAATTGAATTTTCAGATTAACTGCACAAAAATGGAAAATCTGTTTGAAAATCCTTTCTAATTTTGTTTTCTTTTGAAGAGATAACAACTGTTAGCATTTTAGGGGCTTTCATTTTAATCATACCTGGAAAGAAAAACACAAAAGGATTACACTGTGTATTTACACTGAGGATTGCCTTTTCAAAGATATATTTTGCCTTAATTTTTAAAGGCTACATAATATTGCAGCCTACAAATATTTTATAAACTTTCTTGGTGGTCCAGGTTGCTTTGAATGTTGTAATATTATAACTAATATAGAGAGCTCTCTTGTACATAATTATGTTGCACATTTCTTATTAGTTCTTAGATTTACTGGGTCTAAGGATGTGCATAAATAGTTTCTAACTTTGGGTACACATTGTCAAATTGCTCTCTCCAATAAAGCCATGCCAAATTACTCTACCAGGCACCACACATGAAGCTGCTCATTTCTTCAAACTCGTCCATAGGAAGTGAGCTAAGTGGAAAGTCAGTCGCTGGTGCTTTTGTGTTCCTTCAACCCAAAGTTCTTCCTTGGTCTCATCTGTCAGTGTCCTGTGCTCCCTGACCCCAAGGCTGCCCAGGGCTGAGGCTAGGATTGCCTAACATATGGGAGAAGTGTAGCTACTGCCGTGATTCAAATCCCATTCGCAGATGTAAGTGCTTAAGGTGCCCTCCTCCCACCTGCTCTATGGGACATTGGGTCCATTAGCACACATTGCAGGCTCATGTCTGTTCAGGTGTCTCCCTTGCACCCTGGAGTGCACACCCTCAAATCTGGCCCCAGGATCCCCACCCCCAGGCAGGGTCCTCCTTCTGCACCAGGATTCTGCACAAAATCAGGCTCTATGTAGGCTTCATTTGAGAACATCCCAAGAAGCTGTGAGTGCAGTAACACACACGTGATTTAAGAGATCCAGCATCCTCTGGTCAGTAAAATACTTTCTCCCACCCGATCCCACCTCATTTTCATGCCAGGAAGCCAGCAAACCTCTTTCATACCCATCTCCCTCCCTCCCCTCGTCCCCGGAAGCCGCTTGTTAGAGTGCCCGCCCGCCGTTGAATCTACCAGGAAGGCACCACTCAGGGCTCCTGGCTGCTCTCAGGCACCTGGCCTGCACGACAGTAATTTCAGCTGGGATTATTGAAAGCACCAATTAAAGAGGCTCCCAGCATCTCTGCTCACCACCCTCAGTTCATTCTACATGTTGTCCAAATGATCCCTTTCCCAAGAAAGTCCACTCCTGTCTTTTCATTGAACAACTCCCTGAGATGTTCCTCATCGTCCTAGCATGAAGTCCAGGTCAGAAGGCTGCCTCCTCTGGGCCTGCTTCACCATCTCCCTCTCTGTATTGCCTGGAGGGTGCCAAGCTCCATGCCACCTGGGGTTTTGCAAATGTGTGTGTCTCTGACACCCCTGTCACCTGCCTTGTCATATGCCCACATCCGGGATTCTACCCTGGACTTTCTTGATCTTCCCACAAATGTCTTAAAATCACTTGGCTAAAGATTTATTCAAAAGTTTTCTTCCCTGTGGTATGACAAACTGTGTGAGAGCCAGGACCAAGCAGATCCTACTTATTGGTAAATCCCAGTACCCCACACAGCACACAGTAGGTGCTCAATAAATTCTCAGCACCCAAATGAACAAGTGTTGAGATGTCTTTTCACTTTCTTAACGTTTTTTGAATTGTAGATTTATAGATATTGTCCATTTAGTGGGTGAAGGTTCTTGTGATTTATGAGAATTTTATAGAATCAGAATATAACCCTCTGCTAGTCCAGTGAGGTAGATGTGATTTCTTTTGGGGGAAGTTGTATTTTGTATGTCTCATCTGTTGTAAGCATATCATGGTAACAGGTCAGTCTGGAAGAGGCCAGTGTACGCCGGGCTTTGTGCAGAAGGGGACAAAGCTAAAAAAGGGAGCAAGAGCTAGGACTTAAGAGAGTCACTGTGCTTCTCAAAGGTGCTTGGGATTTGTCTTGTCAGTAGGGGAAGCCACTGGAGGATTTATGAAGGGGAGGACTGAATTAGTACTCTGTTGATGAGTAAGCTCTCTTTTTCCTGGTAAGAGTTATGATGAAACCAGGGGACCATAAAGTTGCGTGTGACTGAGTAGTATGTTACTGTAAAGACCCAGCTCCTTAATTCTGAGAAAGGCTACACTATGGCTATGAAGACCGAGGATTCCGTATGTATCTCAGCTGTTTTCTGTTCTTTGTCCTTCGTGTCTGGCAAGGGCAAATGGTACCACTGCCTCTAGAGTAAGGAGTGGGAATGGTCCCCTAGGGTGTTGTTCCAATTATGTAAACACCAGTGCAATGTTCCCTACTCACCTTAGTGCATGTGATTCTGATTGTGAAATGTGCATGTTATTTTTATAAAAGAAACAGAATCTGTGATGGCTAACTGTGTCTTTGTGGAAAATCAACCAAGGAGTATTCAATCGATTGATCTGAGTTCTCTGACATTACCAGGATGACTACATCTAGAATCCACAGCTGAGTGTAAACCCAGGTCCATGTTCCCTGAAGTGATTCCGCCCGGCACTCGGAGGATCCATAATGTTGGAGGAAGGGAAAAAAGGAATAGTTTATTATCAGTTAAAGTTTATATTTTCTTGCTCCGAATGGGTGCGATAAACCACAGTTATATAAGCGGCTACTGTGACTTTGTCATAGTAACAGTCACAGATATTTCAACATCACATTGTAGCCTTTTCTGCTCACCATACTTCAAAATAACAACATGTGTTCAATAATGGGAAAATAATTGTATTTTTTCAATATTACAATGAATGCCTTTTAATATTAGTGGTGCATTCTTTAATCTGAAATAGTTTATTTTTGTCTATTCAAACACTATTCCAAGAAGTTAGTCATATGTCTTAGTATTCCACCAAAAAGGACAATAGCAAAAACAAAATGGTTAAGAATGCCTGAACTAAAATGTTAAAATGAGATTAGCACAGTAGCCCTGTGAAGCCACATAGGGACAAGGCTGTGCCTCCCTCTCACTATAGCTGTATTTGTTTTCAGAATTCCTGGTACTGGGGAAATCTGGAGTGCTGTTCTTTTAAGAATGTTGTCTATATATTAAAATCTTGTCTTTACTTTTTTTGGCCTTCTGAGTTACTCTTGAGTAAATTTGTTCTTTCCCAGGGATGCTAGATTGAGCATCAAAAATATAGGACCACTATACTATCAGTATCTTTCTCTACATGCAGTGCATATATATGAATGTAGACAGTCTACGTATAGCTCTGTATTTCAGATAAACAATAATTTTTAGTGTAAGCATGTATCAAATATTGCCTGTGGTATACTTATACTAAAAATTACTTGCTGTCCATCTGAAGCACAAATTTAACTGGGCATCTTGTATCATACCTGGCAATTCGAACACCACCAACATCGGGCCTATTGCTCCCCGCTAATTAAGTGCAGATGACAGAAATGTGCTTTCTTACAGTGTTTACCAATGGAGATTAGTGAGCTGCCAAAGGTCTGAGACTTTGATTGAATGTGAAAGCATTTTGAAATTTGAGTGTGTCTTACTATCATTCTGAGATCACAGCAGTCTGTTTTCAGCCTTGAGAAAGACAAATACCTCGGGAATATGACCAGGCCTTAAAGTAAGTTGGGCACAGTGCAAGAATTCTGGTATTTACTGTGTTCCCCTGGGACCCGGCAAGATCCGGTTTCTGTATCAGCGAAATGTGGTCAAAGTTGAGGCTGACAGTGAGACGGGTTTGTGAAACTTTTGACACTCATTCCATGGTTAAACAACTCTGTTCCAAATCAAGCAAAAGTCGTAATTTCCTTTGTCTGGGATAAGAGTCCCATTAGGATCATAATGAGCATGAAAAATCAACACAAAGAATTCTACCCTGTCTGCAGGTGAAGAACACTAAAGTCCATTAATCATCAGTTTAGTTGCAGAGACCGACAATCCCAAATGGATTTTAAACACAAGGAAAAGCAGCCAGCATGAAGCCAGGAAAACAAGCAGCCTGAAATCAGTACTTATAAGGGGCTGTCTATCTTTCTACACCTCCATCCCCACCAAAAATGTAAGCCTGATGCAAAGAAATATACATGTGAGGGTTGAAGTTTGCTAGGCTCAATGTCTGCGTGAGAGAAATTCATTGAGGGGAAAATCCATCTGAAGTTTTGCAAATTATACAACGGTGCATCATAAAAACGCAAAGCAACTCCCGAGTCCTAGGAAGACAGCTTCCTAGCAGACAGTCATTTTTGCCTGCTACCTCCTTCCCCATTCCTTTTTGCATGCTCCAGCTATGCCCGGGTACATTAAATCTCTCCCTGTCAGGGCCATCTGCAGAAACATGCTTGCCAGCCTGATTTATTCCAGGTTACAGTCAAACAAAACCAAATACTCTACACTTCCTTTTCCTTAACCCAGTGGCACTGCTCTAAGCCATCTTCTTCTCTGCCCTTGAATTAATGCAGACAGGAGCAGTGAGTGAGTTTCCACAAGCTAGTTGTAGAAATCTATTCCCTGCAGAGAACACTGGGGGCAGTCCTTTCGGGAACCTAACGCAACACCAGTCCCTTTTTCATTCCCCCAGACATAGATTTTCCTGTTTCACCAGTCCATCTCACAACAATGCATCTCCAAGCCATGCTGTGATTAAAGGGGAGAATATGCTTATTACCCAAGTTCTTCACATGTTGGAGCAAGAGAGATCCAGGGTGGTAAACCAAAGGAAATTTCCATTTGCTCTTAGCCGCTGCACATTCTCACTCTATAGGAAAGTTAGCTATTATTAAGTAATAGTGTTCAGCTGAAGTTGGTCACTTGTAACAACAGACAGATGTATAATGTTTTATTTGGGTTAGGCAACTCTCTCGCAAATAAAGGACCTGAAATTAAACTGTCTTTACAAAAATGTTCAGCAAATGATACCTCTGACTTATTCCAGTACTCAGATTCTTTGCCATGGAAAATGGAAAATGAGTCTCCCATTGAACCCAGTATCTGTTTAAACTTGTCTTTGCTGAGTGGAAGAAGGTTGGTGTTCTATGGAACCAAAAAAAAAAAAAAAATTAAGAAAGAATATGCATGGAGGAGTCAAGGGTATAACTATGTAAACCACATTTAGGGATGGAAAATGATTTTTTTTCAGTACTTATGGAATTTGAAACAATAATAATGGAATGGAAAGATAGAAAAAAGGCTAAATATTTGACCACAGAGGCAAATTGGATCATTAGATGCTTACATGAGATGCAAATGTGGGGGCATTTCTCTAAAGGAATACTTGATGCTTTTCCAATGTATAATAGCTCTCCAGTCCACTGAGCCACTTTGCAAACTCTAGCCACATAATCATTTGGGAAATTGAGGTCTTTTTAAGACACCATTTCTTGGGAGGCTCTCCCTCCTTCCCCACCAAAATTCTGGTTCTGTAGCTCAAGCAGAGAGCCAGAGATGGTGCATTCCTCAGGAGCTCTCCCAAGCCAAGCTGATGCTGAGGTTGAGTGGAGGGAGGGAGCTATGCTCATCAGTCTCCCCTGTCTTCAGTATCCAGTAAGATGGATGGCTCATTTCAAGATACTTCGTAACAGTAACAATGAAGATAGAGATCTGCCCATAGCAAGGACCAAAACTCACAAAAGCTGGTTTCCAGACTTAACCCTGGAGTGAATTGGTAACCTTGCACAAATTGCTCAAGGCTTTGGAGCCTCTTTCTCTCCATATGTAGAGTGTAGGTTAGACAAGATCGGTCCTCCCCAGAGTTTCCAAATGGCATATCAGGGGCAGATATCCCTGTGTGCTTATGCAGATTTCTCAGCATAGGACCTCTCACAATCTGTAGCATCCAAATGCCTAGTGTAGATCTACAAGGGGTGGCATGTTTGGGGGTACAGTAGGCAAGCATTCTGAGATTGTTTGATCATTTATCCCTTTAATTGGGCTTCATCTGTATTATACACCTGGGAGAAGACCCTAGCATGTCTGGGTCCTCCAATGTTCTAGGCCAGTGCGACATTGAAACCATTCCAATGAGACACCCAACACCCAAGAAAGACACCCACAGCAATTTGCAACTGATTACTTCCTTTCCCATCAGAAGCTCTCTAGTATTTTTTTTTACAAGACGGTGCTCCTGAACTCCAATGCGGTAGGAACGCATCCTGGATACCTAAAAATCCCACTCGCATCTCCCATACTTGACAATGCCATCCCACAACCTTTCTTCTCCTTCCAGGCCATAGACTCATTCCTATGCATTTGCTCATTTCCTCCATATTCTCTACAACCCAGTGAGTAGGGAGTGGTTCTCAAGGTGTGGTCCCAGAACATATTCGCCCTCTTCCCCAGCCCTCCAGATGGTTCTGATGTTCCCTGAAGCTGGAGAACAAGTGTTTGAGACATCAGGAGGAGCTACAGACACAAACAGACCCATCACAGCATCCTTATCTGGAATAACGAGTGATAATAGAGTCTATTTCAGAACCTGGGTGAACATTAAATTAATATGTAACACCTTGTGTAAGGCCTGGCATAGGATAAACAATGAATCAATTATGGCTCGCTATTCTACAATGAATGCAAACATCTCAGGAGCAGGGTCTTATACGCCTCATCATGCTGCATCGCTAGGAGAGGTGGCCTCTGTGGGAGACGGTGATGCTGGTTCAGTAGGAGTGCAGCTCTGGAGGCATACAGAGCTGGTTTCCTAACAGTCTTTCACATACTAGCTTTATGAGCATGTGTAAATTATTTAATCACTTTATGCCTGGTTTCCTCCTTTAGAAAATAGAAAAATTTCTTTCTTCACACGGTAAAGAGAAAGATTAAATAAAATAATACCTGTCATTGCTTTAAAAGGTACTAAATCCCTTTGGATCCTCCCCCGGCGAGAGCTAGCATGCTAGAAAGATAATGCCGCTAGACTATAGATCATGAAGCCCTCAGACCTGTGAACTGGGGGCCCCTAAATCCTCAAAACATCAGATTGGTTAGTAGGATGCATTTTTAATGCTCTCTGAAAAGTTATCTTGATAAAGTTAAATGTTGACTTTAATGAGAGTTGGTCACCTCTTGTAGGTTGTTGTCCAGCATCAGGCAATTCTTTCTTCTTGCTGAAATCTTGTTAGATTTGGATTCTTCCTATATTGAGTGTCAACATGGATCAATATTTGGAGTTTACTTTAAGACTATTTCAGGAGTTTATGCCTGTCCTTTAATTCATCTGTTAGATGAAGAACATAATCTAAGATACAAAAGCGTGGAGTAAGGACACTTTCATGGCCAGGGCTTCACTAGGTTTTGCCTCGGGGGACAGGCAACTAACTCCCAGAGCTTTGTGACCTACAGTGACAAGAGCATTCTCACCTGCGCTGTAAGCTCTGTGGTTCAGTGGGAGCTCAGCTCCAAGTGTCCCCTACTCCCACTTGGCCACACAGTGAACAGTCCCGACTGACATCTACCTGAGAGCAATGGCCAACCCAGAAGACTCCAACGCCTCTGATCAGGTGTGGCTTGAGTCATGGCCACTCACACTTCATTGGTCAGAGCGAGTCACATGGCCACTGCTGAACCAGGAAGAGGAAACAGTTCCTCACAGAGACAGTCCCAGGGAAGGATCCTGTATCGGGACTCCAGTAGAGAGGTACACTGAACAGCCAGAGCTCATACAGCCAACCACAACAAGCCAGAACTCTGCCTAATAGGCTCAGAGCTCACATCTTCAAAACATGTGTCACTGAGATGGAGGAAGGCAGCGTGCAAATGTACCAATGCCTCACCTTGCACTTCCTTTCAGTCCCTGTGTGTCTCATGGAGGAGAATTTACAGTTCCTCAAGCCTCCAAGAAGCTGCCATTCTTCCCCACCATCCTTTGTCCTGAGTGCCTGAGGGAAAATAGAAAGTCTGTGGAAGGTAAGTGAAACATGCCCAAGACATAAGGCCTAGAGGACAACCTTCTGGAATCTGTGGAGGGTCAACTTCAGCCACCTTGTGTCCATTTCTGTGATCACTTGAGCAAAGCTGTTTTTGTCCTCAGCTGGCATTTTCAAAGTCAAGAATGGGATTCAGAACTGATAGAGCAGACTTTGAAGGAAGTCATGGACTGCTTTAAGGGCAAGAAAGAGCCTGGAATACGGCCAAAGCCAAAGGTTCCCCGCAGTACTGGTGTCTGTGTGACCGCAAGCGCAAGGTCCAAGGGAGGGTAGCTAAGCATCACTGGTTTTATTTTCAATTAAACTTTCTGAGCTCAGTGAACCCCAAGTAGATTCTTGTCAAGCATTTTTCCCACTTAATATTTAAACTTATGTATACTTAAAGTGAAACTTAATCTGGGTATTTGGAGTCTGTATAGAAAGAGAGAGATCATCAAAAAAACTGATCTGTCAAAGATATTGGATGCATAAGAAAGCTTTTAAGGCAAGTTGTCATACAAACAGGAAGTTGTGTTTTGTCAGGGCTTAAAAGTCAGATCCTCCACTTCTAATGTGAGTCTGGAAAAGCAAAGTTATGATTTGATGTGGATTTCATGCCTTCATGCCTTTCCAGCCCCTTTGAAAGTATATGCCATGCCGTGGGTTCACTGGAGGTCTGGTGGAGAGAATCCCCTTTGCAAACCAGTGCCTTTCCACTTTTTCTATAAGTGAAAAGAAAATATTTTTCCACTTTGTTCTTCTACCACAAACACAGAATGAAGTTTTTTCAGGATGAGCCAATAGAAAACTTGCAAAATTTGACTCAACAGAAGTCTAAGACGTTAGGAAGTCTCAATGTTGTACTAACTAGCAAGGGAAAAATCATCCTTAAACCCATTATTTTTTCTTAAGAAAACATCTATGTGACAGGCGAAGGATCTTAGTTTTGAGACTTAGTAAAAAGGGTCCTGTGTAAGTAAAGTTGGCTAGCAAGGGTGATGTGTGAAAATCCATCATAGGAATGAAAGATTCTAGCTAATTATTAGCTAGAATGATTTATATTGCATTACAGTATATATTTAACAAAATATGGATATCATCCTATTTACACATTTAGTATAAATTTGGTAATATGTAATATTTACGTATTCTGTAACACATAAAATTTAAATAATACTTATATATGGATATTACAGTTTTGATCAGATTCCCCACATGCTCCCGCATGAAAAACTTCACACCTGTCCTTGGGTGGACAGGTGCATGGTTCTCTAAGGACGGTAGAGTTGAATGCTCCCGAGGGTGACAAGAGGTGTCACTAGCACTATTTCAGGGAGCGAAGGGGAAGTGAGGAGACAGAGGTCTTCTCTGAAGCTCCAGAGCTGCACATCCCTACGCGGTGGTCCCAAGTGGGTCCCAAGCAGTAGCAAGGACCTCCCCCCAGGGCTGCAGTAGGCCTGGGAGTCTCTGGGCTTGGCCTGTCCCACTGCTTGAGAACCGCCAGCTTTGACAGCAACTCTGATTAGGCTGAGTCAGGAGAGCTTCTCTCAGGGCGGGCACCACGCCTTGGGAGCAGGGGGACATCCCTTACCTTCTGCCTCGGTGACCTTGCAGGGGTGATGGTGCTGCTCACCTCACAGCAAGTCATACGTGGGAAGCAGGCGGCTGGCACACAGTGGTGCGTTACCTACTTAGGATGATGATTGTGGCTTCATTATTACTTCATCACTATTATTACTGAAGCTTCATTACTATTATTACTTATCTGAGTCTCTATTACACAACTGTTTTCTGTTATCGTATTTATCTGCATCTTCCTGCATCGGACCACTTGTGGCTCCACTCGGACTCTATCCTTGCATATCATTCATGATGTGTTCCTTCTCTTTGGTCCATTGCTTTCCGGCCACTTACAGGATGATTTCTTTCTGTTTTTACAGGAACTTCTCTTTTTGGTAGAATTTTTTCTTTCCTGAAGATGGAATGGGAACTCCTTTTCCATTTCCCAACTCCCTTTGTTTCCCCCCCAACACCGGCAGTGTGGCTCTTCCAACACTTCCCATGGAGCTAAGTACCTTCCCCATGTGCCTACTGCTTGGCTCCATTTCAAAAATGTGCTTGTTTCCTTTATTTCCAGAAGACAAATGCCACATCACATAAGCACAAAGAATAAACAGAACACAGCGCAAGCACTCCGTGACTTCATGCTGCCTGTGACTTTCATTGCTTTAAAGTAGGAAGGGGCAAAACTGACCTCTCCAACAGTTTTCAAGGACTTCAACAAGGACATCCCCATTCTGAGAATCACAGTCCTAACCCACAAACTGAAACAATGGAATAATAAGTGGGGAAGTGAATACTATTTCCAGAGACTAAGGAAAATCACTTGCGTTTTACATGAAATGTTGCTTATCTAGAGAAATAAGAGAGGGAGAATTAGAAAGGAATACCCTTTTATCCTTCTTCCCATGATGGTCTTTGGGGAAATTGCTCCTGTCTCTTAACATTTTAGAGTTAAACCAGTGGATTTGCTGAATCACTTAGGGGAACAAAATCTAAGTCAAGGGCATGAAATTATATAAAATAAGTGATCAACAAAGAAGTAAATTACTTGAAAGCAGGATGCTGAGGAATGAACCCCTACGAATTTAGAGTATAGGGAAGCATACATGCTATGAAGGGGATGGATCCAAAGTCATGGATCCAAAGGAGATTCTGGGTTTTCATAGAGCAAGGAAGAAGAGAAGGTGTATCAACCGAGCCCTAGCCACTCTGGGATCTGACCTGTATGAGGCAGCACAATTTGAGAATTGTTATTAGACTATAGAGCAGTAATGATGCTAAATAAATAGTGGACCAGGAAATAAATATAAAGTGTATGTGTAGCTGTCTAATTGACACAGGGAGAGAGAAATGGTAGATGACAGATAGACAGGTAGAGAGACAGAGCAGATGATGGGAACATATGGATACAGGCAACATACGGATAAATAGGTTATCTGACCAATAAGAGAGATGATAGATAACAGATAGCTGATAGCAGATTAAAGACAAAAAGATGATAGATGATAAACTCAGATGGATAGATGATAGGTGACAGATTGACAAATGAAAGATCATTTATTGATACACGACGCATATGGAGAGAGGCAGATAGATGGATAGATGAGAGAGAGAGAGAAGTATTTCAGAAAAATAAGGGGGAAAGAACCTCTTGACTTTAGAACATATTGCTCGGAAGGACTGGAAGGCTGAGGGTTTCGTCCACACTGACAAGAATCCAGCCTGACTTCCAAAGCTGGAAGGGGCCTCTTCCTTCTGCAGGCACTGAGCCCTGTGATCCAGCGTGGTCCTGCACACAGCCGGGCTTCAGCTGCCGCCTCCTCCTCCTCCTCCTCCTCCTCTTCCTCCTCCTCCTCTTCCTCCTCCTCCTGTTCCTCCTCCTCCTCCTCGGAGAGGTGTGTGTCAGGCGAGATGGATCTAACCGTCTTTTCCACTCTAACTCGGGTGACCGCGATGACTCAACAGTAGTAATGCATTTCCACAGGCAGTAAAACTATTCTAGACTCTTCCCTCGCAGCGCTCACTGTTTACTTCCTCTGCATTTCCCCTTCCTGCCTCCCTGTGCTGCTGCTGCTGCTGCTGCTGCTGCTGCCCAGTTCCCTGGGCCTGGTTGGGGGTGGTTAACCCTCTCTGTCCAGCCGGTTTGCCAATGAGCTCCTTCCAGGGCTGGGGCTTCCTTGGTAAGGGCCGTGGTGTGGCTTCACTTTAATTCTTGGAACTTTCCTTGAGCCTTTGCCCTGGTCTGGGCATGGTGCCAGATATCAGGGTGCGAAGTAAATGCCACAGCCAGAGCCCTTAGGGAACCCTTAGGGGCCAGTGTCTCTGGGTGCTCTGAGTCACCTGTGAATGCTCTGTGTCCTTCTCTCTTCCAGGCACGTACCGAGTCCCATGGTAGCCAGGTGGGTGAAGGGGAGCAAGGACCTGCCACCTGTCCTGAAGAAGTCTCCTGACCCGCCGAGGGAGTGAGTGACCAGGTAGCAAACCCTTCTGAGGGTGGAGGGCATCAGAGGGAGGGAGGAGGGCAGGGGGCAGCGGTCCCATGCACCAGGGACCGCCGGGTCTCTCCTCCACGAGCCATGCCGTGACAACACACACGGAGGCCGGAGATCTTCCATGCCCACCACAAAGCCTGGGAGGAAGCACTGTCCATGCCCTGCGGCCCAGGCCCAAGCACTCTCCGCAGAGAGGATGCTGTACCTGGCCCACCCCAACCTGGCTCCCTGCCCCACTGAGAGAAAGGCTGAGACAGAAGCCGCATGGTGCTGCTTTCCCAGAAACAAGGCCAAGTTTCCCAGCAGCTGGCAGAGGACTGAGCTGCCCACGGGACCCTCGTGGATCCCTCATGCTCCAAAATTAAGCTTCTGTGTTTAGTTCAGTGGACTGGATGGCATGGCCTTTCCCAGCAGTTTCTTTAAAAACCAAAAGCAAGCGCGTGTGGTTACTTGGACCCAAGCTGCACTGGTCTTAGGCAGAGCTCGTGTTACCCGCTTGTCTGTGCAGTGTGGCACGCACGGCAAGCCCTTACCCGAGCTTCCTTGTGCTGGTTTTCCACCTAGTTGTACCGAGAAATGTCCCCAAGCGTATGATGAGGAAGGCTGCTGCTCACCAGTGGTCCCCTCTACTGTCCTTCTAGGGGGTCCCAAGAAAAGTGGAGTAGGCTGCAAGGTGTAAAAGAAATTCTGAATCACCATGGCCCTTCTTTGCCACGCAAATGAAAAAGTGATTTTCCCAGGAAAAAGGTCACTTCCAGGGGGGCATTTAGTGAATGCCACACCCTCTGTAAGGTAACGGGAAAATTGAAATGCCCAGGGGCCCCGTGCATCATGCACAGGTCCAGCCCCCAGTGGGTACAGTTCCCATTCATTTGCCTGGTGGGTTCTTTTCAAAGCTTTTGTGAAGATAATGCCTCTTTCACAGAAAACATTATGGCATGAATCATAAACAACTGCGTATTAGTTCCTTTTTAAAGAGGAGATCATCTTCCTAGTTCTTAAAATATCTATGAAGTGAGAAAAACATGCCAACTAGGTAAGGTTACCCTGTAATCAGTCACATTATCTTTTTCAAGGAACGTAGGGTCAGCAGGCAGGTACTATAAGACGCCCTGTGGCCCCGAAGCCAGCTTGTTCCCCTCTGGTGGCTCCAGGAAGAGCACATCCAGGCTCAGTGTGCTTCTCGGTAGGTCTCTCTGCTACGGTGGGAGATGCTTGCACTAGCTTCCTTCTTCACTTGCTCATTAAATTCCTCTTGCTGGAGTATGGTGTAGAAAGAGCATGGCAAAAACTTTGTGCCGTACCTAAATGTCGTGCCTAAAATGACACTGATCACACTTTTTAAAGAATAACCAGTGTGATCGATTGAGCCTTTACAAAATCTTAATTACTTGCTATAAGGATGTTTTGCTTGTGTGATCACTGAATCATTTTCAGAGTCATCGGGGACGAAGAGAGGTTGTAGATTCTAAGTTATTCATTAGATGGGGGAGTTTAATTGTTACAAAGAATGTCCTGCAAATGGTACATTTAAAAATGCATTGCTACTGTTTGAATTTTTAAAGCTTGTACTAATATCATCCATGGCTATATCAAGAACTCTCTTATGAGTAGTAGATTTTAGTTATGTCAGTACCAGATCCGTGTTTGGTCCAACAGTGTTTAAATTTTCTGTAATGGGGAATCATGATAGCTGAATATAAACAAATATTGATAATACTTTAAGATACATGCATAACAGTGTGTTATCTCAGAGAAACGTAACATCATCTTTTGAGCATGAAGGTCTGTTTAGGTACTTCATCTCATTTATCATCCCAAAACCCTGAGAAGTGGGATTTATTGCCTTTTTAAAGAATAAGGAGCTGAGGGCCAGGGAGGTTAAATAGCATGGTGAAGGTCACACAGCTGATCAATTGCAGACTTAGCTTTTCGGCCAGGTTTACCTTTCTCCAGAGACTGTGTTCCTTTCTCTGCCCTACTGGCTACCTCAAGTACGTATCAATTAGTCTTACCTTCATCAGTCTCCTTTCTCACTCACTTCACATCCAGGGCTTCTGCATCTTTGCATTTAGCCAACCCTGGATGGAAAATATTGGGGAAAATGTTCCATCTGTATTGAACATGTACTGACTTGTGTCATTATTTCTTAAACAAAACAGTAACAGCTATTCCATAGCCTTTACATTGCCTTGGGCAATCTGGAGGTGATATAAATTCTGTGGGAGGATATGTGTAGGCTATATACAAATACTTATATCATTTTTATGTAAGGGACTTGACCATCCATGGATTTTACTGTCCCCAAGTGTGCCTGGGATCAATAGCCTTCAGACTGTAGGAGATGACCGTACATTCATACTCCTTCCACATAGTCATTCTATTTCTGATTTCTGGAGTTCCACCACATGAGACTGTAATGGAACACCTTTCTTTGTCATTTTCCTAGGTGATCTCAAGAATCAAGTGATGGACACCATGCACGTGAGCGTGACCCGGCCTCCCCTGGTACAACACACAGCTGGGCCTGGCCTCAAGGCCCACAGACCCCGGGTCATGTCCAAGAGTGGACACAGCAACGTGAGAATCGACAAGGTGGATGGGATCTACTTACTGTACCTGCAAGACCTGTGGACCACAGTCATCGACATGCAGTGGAGATACAAGCTCACCCTCTTCGCCGCCACTTTCGTGATGACCTGGTTCCTTTTTGGAGTGATCTACTACGCCATTGCTTTTATTCATGGGGATCTAGAGCCCAGCGAGACCATTTCCAATCACACTCCCTGCATCATGAAAGTGGACTCTCTCACAGGAGCCTTTCTCTTTTCCCTGGAATCCCAGACAACCATTGGCTATGGCGTGCGTTCCATCACAGAGGAATGCCCTCACGCCATCTTCCTGTTGGTGGCCCAGCTGGTCATCACAACCTTAATTGAAATCTTCATCACTGGTACCTTCCTGGCCAAAATTGCAAGACCCAAAAAGCGGGCTGAGACCATCAAGTTCAGTCACTGTGCGGTCATCACCAAGCAGAACGGGAAGCTGTGCCTGGTGATCCAGGTGGCCAACATGAGAAAGAGCCTCCTGATTCAGTGCCAGCTCTCAGGCAAGCTCCTCCAGACCCATGTGACCAAGGAGGGGGAGCGCATCCTCCTTAACCAGGCCACTGTCAAATTCCATGTGGACTCCTCCTCCGAGAGCCCCTTCCTCATTCTGCCCATGACGTTCTACCACGTGCTGGATGAGACAAGCCCTCTGCGGGACCTCACCCCCCAGAACCTAAAGGAGAAGGACTTTGAGCTTGTGGTGCTCCTCAATGCCACTGTGGAATCCACCAGCGCTGTCTGCCAGAGCCGCACCTCTTACATCCCAGAAGAAATCTACTGGGGTTTTGAGTTTGTGCCCGTGGTTTCTCTCTCCAAAAATGGAAAGTATGTGGCTGACTTCAGCCAGTTTGAGCAGATCCGGAAGAGCCCGGATGGTACCTTTTACTGTGCAGATTCTGAGAAGCAGAAACTTGAGGAGAAGTATAGGCAGGAGGATCAGAGGGAGCGTGAGCTGAGGACCCTTTTGTTACAGCAGAGCAACGTGTGACGCTGGGGTGCCACCTGGCCTCACCTCAGGGCTGTTCCCCCCGGGGGCTCCCTGCAGACCCAGGGGCAGCTGTGCAAAAGAAAACGAGCGGACACACTCAGGCTCTACAGAACTTCATGGGTGTGCACCATGGATCCCCCGCTGGGATCCGGTGGCTGAACAAGCACTTCCGGATTTCAGGAGGTTTCTGAGGAATGCTTCCTCCCAAGTGAACTCTCAAACTTCATGTTTTCTAAAATGGAGCAGCGTACTGAAGAATGGGATGGAGGGCAAGGGAAAATATGTCCTGTAGGATGGACAGACATTCAGCAAGGCTTTATTGAAAGAAAATGCCTTTCCATGCAAGAATATCAGTTATTATGTAATAATATTTATTTAGTCAAAGCATCAAAGGCATCACAGTCAAAGGTTGAACTGTGGTTGAGTATTCAGTTGTACTGTTGCTTTAAAACTCTTTTTTGTCCAAGCAGGGACTTCTACTCACATATAGTCATTCTATTTTTACCTTTCCTTAATGCACGGAATTGTATGGAATGACACTGATCAAATCAGGAATTAACAGTTATGAGAGAATGTTCATAACCTGATGCTACTATTCCCATTAATTTCTGTTGTTGCCATTCCCCTTTTCTATGAAAAATGGGGTTTACAGATCGGTTACCCAGCACCATGTCAGAGTTTATGTGTAACATAGGTGATCAGGTCCCAGGAAGATATGTAGAACCAGTGCTTCTATCTTAGCAAGACCCCAGTGATTTGTGGATAAATAAAAGTTTGAGACATTCTGCTCCGGACACTGTTCTTAAAGTCATTTTCTGACGCACAGGGAAACTGGCTCTGAGGGCGCCCTGTCCACGTGGCCTCTGGGGTTGCCCTGTGTTAGGTTCATTACTGTCATTTAATATTTCTCTCAGCCATTTTATCTCTTACCTTAATACCTCACCCACAAAGGAACTGTACTGAGTTGTCCACTGACATTCCAAAAGCAAACCAGAGCTCTTGAGAGTAATGGCTTTCTCCAGCATGCTAAGTACATGCTCCATGATTAGTTACCACCCCAGAAAGTTAAACTGCTAATGACGCAGGAAATCTGCCCGGGTGCTGCACTTCATAAGGTTGGGTGGTGCCAGTGGGAAAGAGAAGGAACTGAGGGTAAGGAGTTCATACCCAAGATGACCCCTTGATGTAGGAACAAAATGTGATAATCTCATAACCTGTACCTAGCACTCTTGGCATTTAAATAATATCTCACATGGCTCAGTGTCAGAGCTAACATTTTGTCTCTTGCAAAATTTATTCTAGTGAGCTACATTTCTTGGGGAAGAGAATACATGGGCTGGGATTAGCTCAGCGTGCAAAGATGAATGCTTACTTTATTCAAACCAAGACAGATTGGTGTATTCACTTAAGCAGAACATGACCGTGATTGTACAGGCGGTGTGCACAGGTACATATGCGAGCCTCCCCCATTTACATACAGATGTGCACTTCACACCGGGATTCTCAAGCATAATCACAGAAGTCATCCATGAAAGGCATTTGCGATAAACAGAAGCCCACAATGATGCTCATGTCCATTTGGTCCTACCCAAATATGAACTGGTACTCAGAGGAATGGAAAATAACTGGTTTCAGACTGTGGGTAAAGTGATGGTCTGGGATTACAGCACATATGATACAGCCATATTTGATGTTACCATATTTGCAAATGTGTTTCCTTTAAACAGAAAATGTAGAAATAAAATGGATGGCCTGGAACTGAACTGTTCTAATGTACATATAAGAATAATGGAGGTAAAGTTTATAAGGATTTAAAAAACAATCTCAGACTATGCATGTGAAGGAGGATTTTTGTCTTTATTAAGTTTTAAATTTTATGGCAGATTCCTTTAGATCTCCATTCTTTAAAAAAATTACACATGGGCCGGGGATTTAGTTCAATGGTTCCGCCGCCTGCCTCACAAGTGCAAGGTCCTGAGTTCGATCCCCAGTACCGAAAAAAAAAAATTACACATTAGTATAGTTAGATGTTAGCCCTTTTAGTTATTATACTTGCTTATTCTTATTCTACATTGTGGTAAAATTGACAGGAAAATAATGCCACAAGCATGTTTACAGCTCTTCTGTTACACTATTAATTTTTTTCAGAATATTTGCATCAATACTAATTTGAACGTAATTAAGATTAGGAATCTTGCTCACCTACAGTGTATATGGTACAAAGATTTAGTGTAAGATTCAGAGATCTTTTAATGTGTTCATCTTGCATATCATTTTTAGCCAGATTTGGAAGACTTGACCATCCGATCTTTTATACTATGCAGTGTCTTGAAAACCAATAATTGTATAAGTCAATAAATCATAATTATAACATAATATTCAAGAAGTAGTTCTAAAGTTGTGTCTGGTTTGAAACTTACCATTTTCCAGATACATTGAACTGTTATTACTTTGTGCAAAATGCTCTTGTGTTACTATGATAGCAAAGGATTTAGGTAGCAGCAAACTTATTTGGTTATATCTGAACAGTCTTTTCATCTGAACTTATTAAAAGACAGTCATGCTAAATATCCAACTAAGGAGTTACAAAACTAATGGAGGCTTTTTGACCCAAAAAGGCTTTAGTATTTTGAAACATTTCCAATATATTTGGTCTTCTCAGTGAGACTGTACAAAAATGTGCTCCACTGGGAAAACAGAAACTTTAGCGGAACTAGTCAGTGCGATCTATGGTCCATGTCCCATTCAGTAAAATAGAACTAACATGGCACCTTGTAGCCAATAACCCCATATAGCACAACAAGGATACACTCATTGATCTTCACAATGAACTACTTGTGGGTTGGGTGTGGAAGGCACACTGTACTGGTCAGCTTTCCCATTGCTAGGACACAATACCTGACACTCACAACTTAAAGGAGAAGAGGTTTAGTTTGGCTCATGGCTTCAGAGGTTTAGTCCATGGTCAGTTGGCCCTGAGTCAGGAACATCAAGGCAGAAGGTATGATAGAGCAAAGTTGCTCAGGGACCAGATCCAGTACCCAAAGTCATGCAGCCATATCCCACTCAGACACCCTCAGAGTGGTCTTTACTCAACTCCTAGGGAGCTGTCAACTCAATCAAATTGACAGCCCAGCTTAATGGTCACACACACACACTGGTTCCCTTTTCACTGATGGAGAAATTATAATACAGTATAGGTTGTCCAGAAATCTGCAATAACCAGTTAATGGTGAAAAATACCATTAATCAGTGAACCAAATATTTAGATATATTTAAACAACCATTTTGTTTGATTTTTATTTGAACTAAAATTTTAATTTCAATATTACTGAGATATTAATTGAGACATATTTTAAAAGTGGCCTTTCTACTCCAGCATGATAAAAGTGGTACTTCTGCTCTAGGATGGAACCTCCTTGCTTAGATCTTCCATAAGTATGTAACACCTAGAGGGGGGAGGGGGGGGACCAAAGAAGAGCAAATCAAAAGAAAAGAAAAAATGAAAAGAAAAGAGAAAGCAAAGGCCTTCACACTGGTCTCTCAGTAAAGATCACCTGGGTCTTGGATCTGTACATCGTTGTGGTCAAAGCATCAGAAATTTGACCACATGGTGGGAAAAACACACTGTCAATCATGCCCTTCATTCTCGCTCGACTTCTCTTTGTTACAACTTTTAAAAATGAGTTTCCAATGGAAATTGTTTTCTCATAACTTTCCATCCTGTGATTTTTTAATAAATGAAAGGTATTGCTATCTCAAGTCTTGATTTCCACGTTGTGTGGTGTGCACTTTTCATCCAGCAGCAGATTATTTGACTCTGGATGGGTGTAAGGCGTGCTCAGTTTCCTTCTCTGGGAAGTCTTACCCTGCAGGTCAGGCTTAGCATTTCACTTCTAGGTCATCAGCTACCCATCTCATCTTTCAGCAGGGAGACTCGCAGCCCAAGTCTGCATAGCTACAATTTGCACTGAACTGGTATTGCTAAACCTTAACTGGAATTTTAAAGAATAAAGGAGGTACTTAACTTCTTGAGGCATTAGTATTTCTCAGTAGCCCAGTTTTTGCTATTGTTTTGCTTATTTGTAAAGAAATTTGAAACAAATTTTTATCTTCAGAGTAAAGAAGGCAGTAAGAAAAGTGTAAGAAACACAAGCTAATCTTGGCTCACCTAGATTTCATGTGAAGGGATTTCTCCCAGAGGAAAAGAACTTTGTAGGGGAAAACTTAGTTATTCGATCTTATGTTACAATAAACTACCATCCTATTCTTCTGGCATCCCGGGAGAAGTAATTTTCCTAGCCTTTCAGAAACATTGGCGGGGTAAATCCAACTTTTTTGTTTTTACCAAAGATTTTCCGCTAAATACTTAATGGAAAAAGAAACATGAGTCAAAAATAAAGCTCCATCCATGTGCCTCCATCCCCATCCTGCCTGGTCCCCCCGAGTGAACTCCACTTCCTTCCACTTAAGTCATGCTTGGATAAATATTCCCTCGCCTTTGCTATCCATTCTGCCAAGCCAAATAATCTGATGAGTTAAAACATAACCAATCCAGATTAGAAGCTGTGGACATTTGGATATCAAAAATTTGATGACAGGAATTTTTATTTCTCAGGTTGTATAGTGGGGGTGTGTTGCAATAGAAGAAAGGGAAAAGGCAATTGAGTGGAGTTGATAGTTAACTGCTAGTAAAGTTATAAGAAAAGATGGTGAAAGTCAGAGGACATACATGACACATGAGTAGGAAAGCCAAGGATGTCATCAAATGTAGCAGAAGACCCTATGGGACCAGTGAATGTAACCCAGACAGTGAAGGACTCTGGGCAGCCTACCCCTGCAGGACAAGTCTGCTGTTTAGTAGCTTTTGCCCTGCGTCCTGTGTGGGCTTTTTTAGTGTGGATCCTCGGAAGGTCCTGCAGTTGACTTCTTTCAATGCATTATAAAATTGCCCAGGTCATTAGGAAAATCTTCAAATTTAATCAGAAGTCTTATATATTTATTTGCCCAAAATGACAAACCTAGGGACAGTAATCACATAATCCCAAACTATGCCCATCTGTAAAGGAGAAACACATGTCCCTTTACAGGGAGGTTATGGGATTGATACAACTAGTGACAGAGAAAGGGTTCGCCACAAAAAAACATGTTTCCTGGATTTGTTCAGCTGGCAAAAGTAAAAATCAGCCTGACACAGGACCAGTCTGTAACTCCTCCTCACAGGAGATCTCCTAATGCTCTTCTAAAATCAAGGAATACTCATTCCAAAAGTCCGCCTCACATTTTCTTTCTTTAACAACAACGCACACCACAGGATGCATCCTTTAGCTGTGGTTCTATGTGGATTCAAGGGAAAATCTTATCTAGTGTCTAGGGCTTCCCACCCTCTTAGGATATCTAATTTCACTCTTCAAAAACATTCAAGACACTAAAGGGAGCATCCACTCAAAATCAGGCTGCATGACAACTCCTACAACTGGCTACCGAGCAACGAACTATCCCCTAAACAAATTAAAGAAAAATCAGCTGTTGACTCTGAGCTAAGAAATGCGTGACTGCTTAGCTTATTATTCCTTGTATTGCTATTATTACAAATTTACTTAATTTTATGAAAAAGAGCTTCCAAGAAAGTGATGAGAGGGAAGTTCAAAGAGAAACATTTTCCCTTCACTGTCAGCTAACTATACTCTTTCGTCTGCAATCACGCCTTAGGAGTAAGGATGTCGTATTAAACCAAATTGTTACAGGAAGTATGACTGTATAGGGGACTTTTTTACAAAAACAACCTCCAGGTCACAAAGGGAAGCTGTGCTTGTGTGCTGACATGCGTATCAGATGGCAGGCAGAAGGAGAAGGCAGGACAGCAGCCAGCTCGGATCTATTTTTGAGGAATTATTTCTGTAGGATGTCATGGAATTGTAAGTTACAAAAAGAAGGCTTTGGAAAAACAGACTCTCCATTCCAAGAGGGCCTTCTCCAAGATACTACTTAATGAAATTCACAGGAATGTAATGGAAATGGAAATCCCAAACAACATGCAGCTTTTATGGACAAACAACCTCCTGGCAGCGCGCGCTTACCAAAATCCTGGTCGGGCTTCAGCATCTTGCTATGTGTAGAACTACATCTGACTTCCACACCGTGCCCCCAAGACATATATCACTGCTTTCCTCTGACTTTTGAACTAGTCTGAGGCTTGGGCTTGCCTTATCACACTGTGTTTCTCAAGGGCATCTGCTACTCAGTGCACATTGGGAATCCCACCCCACTGTGACATGACACCTGTCCACACTGAGCTCACAGCCAGCTTGAAATGTGCACCTTAATATTCCAAGAGTTCACACCTCTATTTGTCAAATCACTTCTTATTTTAGGTGTCACCATCACTCTTCTTTTCTTCTTCGGTATATGGAATCGCTGTAACCTGTGAAACAAGAGCAAGCACAATAAAGCTAATTTCGTGGTATTGAGTTTCTTTTCCTCTCATTGGAATCCTAATGGTGTGTCTGAGTCAGCTTTCCCATTGCTGGGACAAAATACCTGACACCCACAAATGAAAGGGTTCATTTTAGCTCACAGGTGGAGAGATATCATGCATGGTCTGCTGGCTCTAATGTAGAAAAATCAGAGCAGCAGGGCAGGAGGAAGGAAGTTGAGAAGCAGAGCAGGGGAAGAAGCTGACTGGAAGGAACCATAGGCCAGGCATAGTAGCAAGGTCCTGCCCCACAATCCACTTCCTCTAACCAGTCCCCACCTCTGGATAGCCAATTTATGAATAGCCATTCGTGGATGGAATAACTCATTGGTGAGGTTAACTTATCACCTAATCACGTCTCCAGGACTCTTTTAACCCAATCAAGTTGACAGTCTCTATAACCAGTACAATGTGCTACTAGTGCTCCAAGGGAGAGCGGTGTAATATACTCCCAGACATCTCAGGGATAAACCTTTTGGAACTAACCCTCTTGGATGAGAGCACTATAATGTACCAGTGTCTAACAGAAAGCGTCTGCTGCCTTTTTAATCACAGAATAGAGAATAAAATCTCAGCTTCATCTCTTCTCAGATTCCAGAATGATGGTTTTATTATACTCAGTGCTTGAAGATCGAATCACAACATAATGACACCTTTTCAGCGTGGAATCTTTTCCTGAAAGTCCATTAATTTCCATAGCTCTTTTACTTTGATGGGTTCAAAGAAAGCACTTAATGGTATAAGTCCTAGGGCCACAGATATGGGTGTGGTGATAAGTGAGCAGACCTATTTAAAACCCACATAGCAGAGACATGCAGCCCAGAAACAGACAGCGGTTTCCTGGGGAAACCGCACACACATACATTCAACAAGGTAATTGCCACAGCTCCAACCATTCTGCAAGTGTTCTTTTTTGGCATCTTCTCTTTTAGAGGCTTGGCTAGTTCATTATCGTATTCTCAGCCTTAGAAAGCTTTGTTCTTTGAGTGAATTTACAACTGTTGGAAATAAACATGGCTGGTGCAGACAGTAGGAGATCACATTTGTAGATGTTGTTTGGGCAAACAAAAGCGAAAACAAAAATCAAAAAGATAAATGTTTTCTAAGACGTTCACAGTACTCCAGAACACAGTAACAGTGCCAGTCTGTGGGACACATTTTATTAATTTTCACTTGCACAGAATTTCGCAGACATAAATTATTTTCCATTCTGTTACCTCAAGCATCAGTTGCCCTTGGGGGTGATCTTGGCTAAGGTCTCAGCTGTCCATGTCCACGACAAGACGACATTGCCATCGCTATGGGAATGAGGGAATCTCTAAGAGCAGCGTGGGAATCAATATCCCATTGATGCTGGGATAGACACCAGTGTTACGGGTTCTACCTAGATGTCCTCCTCAAGCCTCATGCCATCACACATGGCGCCTTTGGAAGGTGACTGGATTCCAGCTGACTTCCTGGAAGCATCATTGTGGGCATAAGGGAAAGGTTATATCTTCTTTTCCAGCTCCTCCCTTCCCTCTCTACTTCCTGTCCCCAGTGCTGTGAGCAGTGCTCCCCTGCCAGGCCCCTCTGCCATGCCATCCTGCCTTGGAGCTAGTAAACCATGGACTGAACCCTCTACAAAATGTGAACCTCTCCTCCCTTAAGTTGCAAGTACTGGGTATTGTGTCCAGCAATAAGAAAGTGACTAGGACACACAGTATCCTGGAAACCATAACATTCCTCCTTAGAAATTCATGGTTTTGTCCACCTGCCTGCAAAGATCGTAGACAAACAAGTTTAATGGTTGAATTTCTCATAGAAATGTCTATATTCTCCCCTAGAAACTCTTATCTTGTACAAGGCATTTATTTCTGAATTAGTCTGTTCCTTTCTTGTACTTAATACTGTGCCATATTTCTTAGCATGTAGTATATGAGTGACTCCCTGTGTTTTCACCAGGTCCAAGGAATGTGTTCTGCACCTTCCTTTGTTTGCAACTATTGAGTCAGTCAGGAACTCTGGCTATTTTTAAAAGATTTTATTTATGTTTATTTATTTATTTTTATTTATTTTCTATTTAAGTTTTTTAAAATTTTAATTGGCAGCTAATAATGGTATACACATAGGTATAGGTTACAATGGATGTTTTTCATATATTTTCTATGATTCTGCTAAGCTGGTTAACCTAGACATCACCTCACTTGCTTATTTTTTGGTAGGGAGAACATTTAAACACTACTCTTAGAAAGTTGACTTGCTCTGGACTGTACACTTCTCTGTAAACTCCATTTAACAT